GCAAAGGAGTGCCAGCATGTAAGAAGACCAGCCGCTTGATGCGAAGTCGCGAGGAAATCAGGTGTATTTTATTTTTGCTTGGTGGCCCTGAAGAAATTCTGCAAAAACCTGGCCGGCCCCTGCCCTGCCCCTACCTACCTACCTACCTACCTACCTTACTTATGGGAAACTAATGCGACTTACCACGAATAAAAACGACAAAAAAGAAAGATGGCAACGGTCCAAGGGATGGATTGGAGGACGGCACGCCGCCACCACACAGGGATTTCTGGAAGGAAGGTGTGTTGCTAGCCGTCGCCCACCACCCTATATGGGAATATGGCGTCCGCCTCTTGAGCACTTGAGTGAGCACTTGATTGATAGGGTCGATTCCGCGTGGTACGGGACCCCTCGATCGTCTCGCCCTCCCTCACTGGTGTGTTCATTGGGGGGTCATAACAAACACGGTATAGGATCGAGGTGCACGCGTCGCTGCCGAGCGAGGCAGTGTCGTCCCCCCTCCCTCTCCATCATCTCACAGCGAGACGTCGGCGGCGATGGCGGATTGGCGGTGGTGACCGATCGAGCTACAAGAGGAGCTTGTTCAGCAGGATCCAGGACAGGTCTTAAGCACTACCTCACTGGGCCTGAGATCATCGAGACAGCGCCGCCCCGTACCGGATGCCGCCCCGTACCCATGCGGAATCGGCCCTATCAAGTGCTCAAGTGCTCAAGACAGCGCCCGTCACCGTCTCGGGTTTGTGTGGAGTCGAACCACCGGGATGAGCGAGCTCATCGTTCATCTGATTAATTGTCAAAATTCCTGTTGTGCAAGAGGGGAGAGGGCTCGGGCCTCGGGCTCGGCCGCCTCTTCCTATCTCCCTTCGCAGTCCCTCGCCGATTCTCGCTGCAACCTTCATGCCACCTCGCATTACAAAAAAGAAAGAAAGAACACAGACAAACCAAACGGACCCTGTGTCCCCCTCCCCCATCCCTCGTTTGGGTTGGTCTGGTTTTCTTTCTTTCTTTCTTCAGGGATGGGAGGATTACAATCGTAGGAGGTAGAATTAAACAAAACAACTCTTTTTCACAGCAGACGGGCTCGACACAGGTGCGGACTGGCGCGTGCTAGCACTATCACAGGCAAACCGTGCGCGCGCGAACCGCTTTCTGCGTCTCAAAATTCTTCATCTCGCCCAGGGACCTGGAGAGCGCCACCTCGATGCCGCTCTGCCTGCTCTCTGCGTCGGTCGCTGGCACCGCGTCGGTCGCTGGCACCGCCTCGGCGGCCGAGGTCGCCGCCGTCCTCCAGCCGCGGCTCACCTTTGCTCCCGACGAGCTGCGCGCGGCCGAGGCGGCAGCGCAGGCGGAGGCCGCTGGCTCTGGCGTGGCGGCGTGGCAGGCCGTCGCCCGCACCGTGACGGCGCTGCAGCGGCTGGACTGCGGGCACGACGCGGGCGTCGACGGCGTCACCACCGCCAAGGAGGCCGAGCTGCTCAACGCGACCGAGGCGATACTCGACGCGGCGGCCGGCGGCGAGCCGCTCGCGATGTCGGCGCTGGGGCACATGTACCTTCTGGGCGACCCGTGCTCGCCGAAGCGGAACCTGACGTGGGCGACGCACTGGCTCGAGGGCGCGGCCGCCGCCGGCCAGCCCTCCGCCCTCGCGATGCTCGGCTTTCTGAACGAGAGCCGCGCGCTGTCGCGCGTGTACAACTTCAGCTATGCCACGCCGGCCGCGCTGACGGCAAGGTACCCTCCGGCGGGCGGGGGGGCGTACGCGCAGGGGCGCGCCCTGTACGAGGCCGCCCTCACCTCGGGCGGCTCCGTCCTCGCCTCGCTCGCCCTCGGCTCCCAGTACTCGAACGGTTCGGAGACGCTCCCGAGACGCTCCCGAGACGCTCCCGAGACGCTTTCGAGACGCTTCCGAGACACTTCCGAGGTGGACGCATCAGCTCCTGACAGCACTCACCGCCCCCGTGCCTCCTCCCCCCCAGGCTTCGCCGGCGTCGCCGCCTCGTGCCCCGCCGCCGCCGCTCACTACGAGGCTGCGGCGGCGGGCGCGATGGCGCAGCTGGACGAGAAGCGGCAGCGGACGGTCGAGCAGGGCTGGCTCGACTCGAGCAGCGAGGCGCGCACGCTCCTCCGCAAGCAGCCGGCCGCTGCTCGCGAGTCTGGCGTCGACCCCGCCTCTGTCGAGTACATGGACTACTGCGCGCACGTGGGGGACGTCGCCGGGCAAGTCGGGATGGCGCACCTCTACCACTCCGGCACGCACGGCGTCCCGCGCGACACGGCGGCGGCGGCGCACTGGTTCGCCGCCGCCGCGGCGAAGGGCGACCCGATGGGCCACGCCAACCTCGGGCTGGTGCGGCTGCGGGCGGGGGACGGCGCGGGCGCGCTGCCGCCGCTGAGGCGCGCCGCCAAGCGGAGCGACCCGTCGGGGTGGGCCGGTCTCGGGTACGCGTACTACTACGGGCTGGGTGTGAGGCAGGACTACGCGTTGGCGGCCAAGGCCCTGTCCGCCGCCGCCCGCCTCGGCCACTTGGACGCCATCTTCAACCTGGGCGTGCTCGCGCTGCGCGGCGAAGGGATGGAGCAGTCGCTGCACAAGGCGGAGCGCTTCTGGCGCGTGGCGGCCGACTTTTCGCACCCGATGGCGCAGTACTACATCGGCAGGATGAAGGCGCGCGGGCTGGGCACGCGGCGCGACTGCGAGACCGCCCTCTTCTTCCTGCAGCACGCCGCCGCCGCCTGGCCCGCCGGCAACGGCTTGCTCGAGACCGGCCTTGCCGCCCACGAGGCGGACCGGCCGCAGCGCGCCCTCGTGCACTACCTGCTCGGAGCGCACGCGGGCCTCGAGCCGGCGCTGCACAACGCGGGCTTCCTGTACGCCGAGGCGATGCCGCGGCGGCAGCCGCAGCTAGCCGCCTCCTACCGCGGCGCGGCCTCCGAGTACTTTCGGCGCGCGGCCGTGCTCGGCTCGGTGGACGCGTCCATCCGGCTCGCCCTCCTGCTATCCGAGGACCTGACGGCCGAGCACTCTGCGAGCTCGTGGAGGCTCGCCAACGAGCTCTACGCGGAGGCGGCGCGGCACGGCTCGGCCGACGCCACCTGGCACCTCGGCTACAACTACCTCAAGGGGCGCGGCCTTCCGAAGGACTGGGCACGCCCCTCCCCCCTCTGCTCCTCTCCGACATGGCTCGGAGCCTGCCCGGAGCTACCCGGAGCCTTCCTGTAGGGGCGCGCATGGGCGCTGATGCGCGACGGCGGGATGCACTCGCGCTTCGCCGAGCTGCGCGGTGCACGAGCGTGCCCGAGCCTTGCGACCCCTCTCCTCCCTCGCCCTCTCCTCCCTCGCCCTCTCCTCCCTGCTCTGTGGCGGCTCGATGCCAGCAGCCCTCACTCTCTCCCCGCCGACCCGCTGCAGGGCCCGAGAAGCTCCTCTTCTCGCTGCTGCGCGCCGTCTACGAGGCTCGCGTCTTCATCGTATTTGCAGCGCTCGGCTCCTTCGTCCTCGCCACAGGCGGCAAGCGCGCCCCCGGCTTTGGCGCCGGCGCCGCCGCGACCGCTGTCTGGCACGAAGACGACGACGCCGCTGCAGACGACTTTGACGAGTTTGACGACTGACTCGCCACGCTGCCGTCGCTCGTGCGGCGGGGTCCGGCGCTAGACGCAAAAAAAGAAGAGGCGTCGTTTGGCCTCGAGCGTTTGGCCGCTGTGTATCGCGCGCACACGTCTGCGTCGAGACGTCGTGTCGTTTTGACGAGTCTCTGGACTCTGCATGCGTACGTCTGACCATTTTTCTAGAACGGCAACACTCGCACACGCATTGCGACCACATACACCTACCGCAAGCACAGCGATCAGCGTGTGCCGTTCGCTACTTCAAGCGGTGTCAAGTGCGGTGTCTGAGCCAGTGCTGCCGCTCGGTGTTGGACACGAAGGCGCGGCAAAGGAGGCGGTGCGAGTCATGGACGCGACCATCGGCATGTGTGGCTCATGTTTGGGCAGCGGCATCGTCGTTGAAGTATCGAGAAATGCATCGAGTCGGCAGCGTGCCGAGCAAAAGGCGCTTCCGTGCGCCATGTACAGTGTCATTCCAGAGTAAAGTGTCTGTGAGCAGTTTTGGCAGGACCGAAGGGACATTGGCGTCGCAAACCTCGCAGCGGCGGTGGATGAAGGCACGGCGGCGTGGGCGTTCAATCGGCGAGCGATCGGCTTTTCGGTGAGCGCCAATTCTTTTTTCGGTGTACCAGGTACCTGTGGGCTAACCTCGAAATCTGCACCTTGGATGGCTGCGCTCCCTGTTTCGCAGCCATCCGTGCTAAGGATGGCTGGCACGCCTAGATCTCAGCCATGCACTCCTACCGGATGGCTGAGAACTAGCTAGGCATGCCAGCCATCCTTAATTCACATGGTTGCATTTAAAGCATCCTGGCGCTGGCCACTCCGCCTCCCAGCACGCGCCATTCTGGCTGCGTTCCCGTCAGCGCAGCCATCCTCCGGCCGATGGCTGCGATGGCTGTGTCCCAGCCAACTCCCCGGTCGCACGATAGCTGTCTTAAAGCCCTCTCACCAATCGACCGCAGGAAACCTGGGACTCTAGGTACCCATTTCACATAAAGCCTAACGAGGGATGGGAGGAGGAAAGGGTGTAAGGGTCCCCACTTGCACGAGCAGGCCCAGGGTTTTGGAAGGACGATCAGGGGAACGATCTTCTCCTGCTCCTGACAAGGGACAGCGCCACAGGCTCACAGCGCGGTGCTCGGTGGACTCCCTACTCCACTCTGGCGGTCTCATCTCAGTCTGGCGACCTGCCTCGCCAGGGGTCCAGCTTCTTCTTCCGAGTCATTGAACATAATTTCGGAACACATCTGATGTGCAGACCAGACGCCAGACGAGGTGGGTGATTGTGGTGGGTATTGTGGGGCGCACGGGCGGCCGACCGACACCCGCCCTGCAACGCCCCAAAAAATCGAGTCTCATCAGCGACCGTATACGGTATAGTAAAGCGCCGCCCTGGCCTGGTTGCGATTGGCCATAGCCTCGCCCGCAAGCATCTCCCGGCGCGCCCAGCCCGAGCATTGCGCCGCCCGCTGCAGGGCGGCGCCCAGCACCGATGACGACTGCTCCATGGACTGCTCCTGGGCGGCATCCTCCGAAGAAGCCTCCCTGGTGCCCGAAGTGCAAGTAAGTGGCCCCGGACCGGACCAGGTGTCCAAAGCCTCCTCGAAAGCCCCGCTTCTCCTCGGCGCCAGGGCCCAGGGCCAGGCCGGCCTTCTCCTCCGGCGCGAGGGCGAGGCCTTGCTCGTCGTCGTCGTCCACCTCCTCGTTCCTCTATACTCTACGCAGCACATCATGCACCAATCAACACATTTTACATAGCTTCACTTTCCGTAGCCTCTGGCTCTGGCCGCGCGCGTCGCACCAGCTCTAATCGCGCCGCCGCCGCCGCCGCCGCCGCCGCCATCAAGCGTCCGGGAAGACGCCCAAGAAGGTTGCGTCCCCCACGAGCGGGGGCATCGGGCTCTCCTCGACGATGGGGGCGGGCGCCTCCGTCGGCGGCGCGAGCGTGGGCGTGGCGGCGGCCGCGGCGTGATCGAAGGCAGTCCGCGCCTGCGCGAGCCGGCCCACGCCGGTCCAAAACTCGTGCAGCATGCCGCCCTCCATCTTCGCGTCGCTAGTCAGCGCGATCGCAGTCAGGACGAGCATGGCGGCGCGCCCCGCCTCGACGGGCGGCTCCAACGGGCCGAGGTGAGGCCCGAGCCGCCGCCGCCTCCGGCGCGCCGCCTCCGGGACCTTGCCCAGCGGCGCACGCACGTTGCGGAGCAGCGAGCGCGCCTCGAAGAGCGAGTACGTGCCGGCCTGCATCGCCCAGCAGAGCGCGCCGAGGCCGCTAAGGCCCGAGAGGGGGGGCGCGTCCACCGCCGTCCAGCCTGTCAGCACGAGCCACAGCCACGTGAGCAGCGCGGTGAGGGCAACGTTGCCGTGCTTCCGCTCCGCCTCGACCCGCCACGCCGCCTGGTCGCTCGCGTCGTCGCTCTGGATTAGGGACCATGGCCAGGGTACGCGCCCCGCCCAGTAGCGCGTGTCGCTGCTCACGCCGCTGTCTGCCGCCGCCATGGCCTCGAGCGTCTCGCTCGTCTCGCGCCGCGCCGGCCGCCAAGTCGCTGCCTCGAGGGGACCGAGGACGTCCCCGTTCTGCAGCGCGTAGTCGGCGCGCACGAGCCTCCCGTTGACCACCGCCCGCGCCAGCGCCTCGCCGGGCGTAGGCCCGCCGCCGGCCGGCAGCGAGCGGAGGGCGGCCTCGACCGTCACGCCAGCCTCGAAGGAGAGGACTGTGCCGTCCTCCTGCGACGCGAGCACGCGCCGCGCGCGCAGCGCCGTGTGGACACGGCCGATGGTGTGCTCGGCACGCGACACCTCGCCCGCCCCCGCCCGCCGGCTCGCGCGCCGCACCAGCTGCTTTGGCCTGGCCGCCCCCGCCGCCCCGGCCGCCGGCGCGGCGACCCTCGGCGTTGCGGCACTCGGCGTCGTGGCGGGAGCGGAAGGCGGAGAGTAAGCTGGATCGGCGCGGCCGCCTCGGCCGCCGCGGGGCTGGCTCACCTCGACTCGGCACGCTCGGCCGCGCACCTCTCGGCCGGTCAGCTCGCGACACGCAGCCGCCGCGTCGCTCGCGTCAGCAAAGCTGACAAACCCATAGCCGCGGGAGCGTCCCGTCTCGCGGCTGGTGGCGACGCGGCACTCGGTGAGCCGCCCAAACGGGGCAAACAGCTCCTGCAAGTCGCCCTCGGTCACGTCGAAGCTGAGCGA